ACAACAAATTGAATATAGCTTCAAAATTTATATTATTTTCATTTCTTTTTTATATAGCTAAATACAGAATTGGCAACAAAAAAATGATATTTCCTGTAATACATTCTTAATATTATTATTGTTATTATTTTACTTAAGTGTAAGGTAGTCCTATACTTACAATTACTTACGGCTAACCATGAAAAGAAATGTTCATCAAAACTACTTAAAACCTTTAAGCGCGTATTGCCGCAAACTTATCAAATGTTGAATACGCCCCACCTCTGCCGAACACATCATTTACATGATAAATGTATCATTAGGCGTCCATCTTATAATATCTATCGTATCAGAATATTTAGTTTCTTATTTGATGGCATGAGATTTTATTATGCACAGCGTGGCTCATAATATTTTAAATAATTATAATATTATAGTTATTGACTTTTTAACTTCAGATATGTCACGATTGCTATTGGTTGTAAGAAAGATATAAACTCAAAAGAAAATAGAATGTCGCGTATAACTTTTAGTGATAGGAGAACAATTTTTGAATGGAAATTGAAATGTTTACAGCGATCAGGGAATAAGCAAAGAAAAACTTGACAGTTAAAGACATGTAAAATATTTGCAGAAATGAATACTAACAAGACACATAAAAGAGAAGAAATTGAATTATTAGAAATATAATAACAAGAATACTGGCTAAAATAAAATAAGATCAAGAAAAATGCGAATTTCATAAAAAGCGATTTGAGAAAAAGTATAAATAAATAAATAAAATGACCAACAAGAAAATGGTGTTTTAGATGTAAGCAGGAAAAAGAGAACACCATCTTTAAGCAAAAATCGAATATCAAACGAATAAATTTGGTGAAGAGATTTCTGAATAATAATCTTTCGTGATGAGTGTAGAGCTGGACAAGTGGTTAAGTTCTTCATAGAAGCAGTCAAATATCACGACGTAGAAAACTATAGTCTTTCTTTCTTTCTATGTGCCGTGTCCTTTCAGGACGTAGTTGATGATGCCTCTCCACCTCCTTCTATCCCTTGTAGCTCTCAGCAAGTTCCTTCCTTCTGCTACCTCCCCCAGACCACGTTCTGTCAACCACTTGGTATGTCATTCATTTTTTTTCTTTTGTCTCTCTTTCCCTCTATTCGACCCATGAGTATCAGATTCTTCAGGCCCTCTTTCCTCATTATGTGTCCCAGGAACTTCAGCTGCCTCTTCCTGATGTTAAGTATAAGCCTCCTCCTTGTTTGCATCCTCTCTAAAACATTATCATTGCTCACACGCTCGGTCCATGATATCCTTAGCATCCTTCTGTAGAACCACATCTTCGTCGCCTCGAGTCTCTTCTTCCTCTTTGAGGAAATCGTCGAATATTTGCTGTCGTAAAAAAGGACAGATGTCACATAAATGCTCAGTATTCTTTTCTTTTTTTTACCAAAGAAATCCTCCTGTTTCGCAATACTTTGCCCAGCTTTTGGAATGAGTCCTTGACCATCCCAATATGTCTACGGATCTCAGTGTCGCATTTACCGTCCTCTGTCAGAACGATTCCCAGATTCTCTGTCAGAACGATTCCCAGATAGTCAAAAGTGTGATTAATGATTTATCCTAGTAGCGGAGGCATTAAAATTATACATCTATATATACATATATATGTGTATAATATTGTTACATATTCTAACAACTTAAAATAAATAATATATCTGTTCCTCTACGATATTTCTCAGAAATAGGGTTACTAGCGATTAGAGTGCTATAACGCAGTCAGTGCACTCTTTCTGTGTCGCTCTAATAATTTAGAAAAGGGGAAAGCACTTATTGCTGAATATAAAGCTGCTAGGTTTATATTATACTCGAAATCTTTAATAAAAGTTCTACTCTATTACCAGAGAAAAGGTTTTTTAATTAACAATGTAGATAACAGTCAATCTTGGGAGAATATGGCGACTACTTCGGTGGATGGATAATCCTTGTTAGTGGTACCTATTCATTCAGTGGTTAAAACGACAACTATGCAAAGCACATAATCTGGTATGATCAACACCTTGAACAGGGCCAATATGATCAAACCCTCGGTCACTAGTGACTTTGTGATAGCATAACAATCTACGGCTTCCAAACAGTATCATCAATCCAGTTTCATTCACAAAGTTTAAGTCAACATGTGGCAATTTTTAAGCATTTTATCAAATCTTTCTCTTAAAACAATTTTTCAAGAAAATAGGTCCATCAACTCCAGTAGCAGTTATCAATCATTCCAATATTCTTGACGTTTCCTTCCTAACCATTTACTCTAAGTAGCGTAAAACGTCAACATATTGATTATGTCATTATTTTCTCTTCAATTTAATGTACTATCAATTTTAATTGTTGCTGTTGTTGATTGTCCTCAAAGAGTGTGGTTTCTCTAATTTGGTTCTTTGTTCGTGAATCTGTAGCACCAGTCCACAATATTCGAAGAATGGATTGTCTTCGCCAAGATTCACATGCTACACGCAATATCAACTATGAACATGACCACAATGTGCTGAACATGTTTGGAAAATAAAATATTCCTATAACTCTAGATACATACATAAAACAATTCATATATCCAATTAAAAATAAAATCATACGAGATAATAGCTAAAATAATAGCCGAAAGCGCTCGGACATACAAAACATTTGGGCAATTTCTACATAATTTATGTCCAGAAAAGAAGAAAATTATAGGAACACAAGAAAAAATTAAATAAAAGCTTAACCGCAGTCAATTGTCAGTTGTTTTTAATGATCTTACATATATATATATATATATATATATATATACGCCCCCGAAAAAATAAAATTCGGTTGAGCACTTTAGAGGGAAAAGCACGAATTTGTAAACAGTGACTGCTACTGCTGATGCAAAATCTCTTCTATGAATTGAGCATTTTGAGTCACTATCATGTTTATTCTAAAATAAATACGTAAAAATTCACCCTCCTCTCTACCGGAAGGTGATAGCTCAGGGGAAAAATCTCCGACTGATGCCAAATCGGTTGGGTTTGAGTCAATCGGATGTCTATCCACACTAATGAGCTGTGATACAGCGAAACAGTTTGTATTTGGATGACACACACACACACACACTCGCACACACACACACCCACACACACACACACACATATATATATATATATATATATATATATATATATATATATATATATATATAAGACACCTGATCAAACAAGTGTCGGTACTGTTGCTTGGCTTTGAACACTGCACATACACACTAAATTATAACGTTCTTACCTACTTCCGGTGCTTTCAAGGAAAGTGCGTAAAGTGTGGCCGTCTCAACACAACACAGAGGTTTCGTCAATGACATGTCTTTCGCGGCAATTATTTAAACATGTACAACATTCTCCATATCCGATAATACCATAGTTCACAGACATTTCCCCTTGCGACATTTTATTCTTAAAAATATCCTATTTGAAAGAAACAAGATTCCAAGACGTCGAGAAAATCCATGAAAATACGGCGAGGCAACTGCTCGCTATCCCAAAGATGGAATTTCAGGAATGCTTCCATCAATGAAATCTACGCTGGATAAAGATAAAGTGTGTGGTTTCTGAAGTGAACTACTTCAAAGGTTTATTAAATGCCCAATCGATATATGCTGCAGTTTTCTTTTATAGCACCAACCCCGATACTTTTTTTTTTTTCAGAATTCTCTCTCTCTCTCTCTCTCTCTCTATATATATATATATATATATATATATATATATATATATATATGTGTGTGTGTATATATATATATATATATATATATATATATATATATATATATACGATTTTTTATATAAGTATTAAGTGCTCAGTAATCTTAAAAATGTTGGAAAATATTCTCCGTAATATAATTTTAGTTATGTTGACTTTAAATTTACTGTAGTCATCGATACCATTTTCTGATAATGTTGTATTTTCTGATAATGTCGTAATTTCATCATGGGCACGTTTATACACATAAAAAATATTTTAAAACACTTTCTATGTGACCATTTTGTATTAATCTTTTCAATTTTTGATTAGTAAATATAGTCTTCACTTAATAGCTTAATAACCTAACGCGATCGAAATTTTGAAATATTTTAAAAAGATTTTTGAAACTTATAAATTATTATAATTAAAAAATGAAAACAATTCTTGTAATAATTCATTATTCATCTGAAATGTTTTTTTCTTAAAACTCTAATGTCCTTAACACATATTATTTATAAAATCTATTAAAAATTTATCAAGTAAAATAGTGTCATTATGCTATTGCAAATTTTCAGCAAAAACAGTAACTGTTTAAAAACAATGGATGATTTATGTTCCCCAAAGAATCTTACTTGTAACTAAGAAAACAAAGCTTGCGATCCGAATTTAATTTTTCGAAATTTCATGAAATTAAGTAAGTTGAGGTTAACAGATGTAAATATATATATTTTTACCAAAATTCTCTAAAAATAATAATTTCAAGAATTATGTCATCTATTACGGAATAAGTTCTAAAAGTCTCATTAAAATCAGACAATTACTTGATTTTTGCAAGTATTTCTAAATTAATGTGTTATTTTGCCGAAAAAAAAAGACGCTAAAATTTTCATAGTCAAATTTGTTACACAACTGACAAAAATAAAACAAGATTTTCTAACCAAAATTTTGAATGTGCTATTTCTAACACGTTTGAAATTTGGTTAAAAATCTTTTTCTATGTTTTTTAAATAATAAAAAATATGTTGCTCCTTCCACTTAATAATAACATAAACATTTTGACGATAAAATTTTTTTTATTTATACCGCTAGGCTATCATCGCAAGGCACAAAGCAAAGGAAATTTTAACATTTTCTAAATACGATATATATATATATATATATATATATATATATATATATATATATATATATATATATATATATAGGTTGATTAAAAAGTAACTCCTCAATTTTTGTATGAGTGGCGACATAACAACCTGTGACATTTTTATTTGGGTTTGATTAAAGGAGCTAGTCTACTATGTCAAACCAATATTTTGGAAGAACTTGAACGGCGAATTCCAAAAGTTATGTCTTCCATACCAAAAGAGTTCCTGGTGAAGTAAGTTGAAGCGATTCCTCATCGGTTCGAGAAACTTGTAGCGAAATTTTATGTCCATATCGGGGTTTTAATAAAACCTCATGCTAAACGATTTCCTCTCATATCCATTTCTTATAAAAATTATAATTAATAAATGAATTATAAGTATTTTAACACGGGGAGTTACTTTTCAATTACCCTGTATTCATAGATATATATAAATAGATATACATATATGGATATATATATAATTCGTGCGGGTGCATTTCGTATGAGTGTATGTTGTTTCGTCACTCACATATTTCCATTGTATTCTGCGATATTTTCTATCTTAAAAACACACTATATACACAATCACATAGACACATAAACATTCACATTACTGCTCTTCTCAGGTATTTACTCAGACAAGTAGTGATTTATCCCCCTTTCTTTTACTGCGACTCATTTCCGCCCTGTTTGTCTCATTCGCTATTTTCGCATGGCATTTCACTTGTGTCAGTGGAGTTTTCATCCGTTGTTCTGTCCACGTTCACGTCAGGTTCTCATTTCACCGCAACAGAAACAGTATGGCAGAATAAGAGGCGTAGAAGAGTGAATGGTCAGAAGATATTAATGACATAGAAAAGTTGTGTAGAACAGGATGGAGAATAAGAAAGGAAAAGAAAGCAAAGCGAAACACTGACGAAAGAAGAGAGACAGCGAACGAAGAAGAAGAAGAAGAAGAAGAAGAAGAAGAAGAAGAAGAAGAAGAAGAAGAAGAAGAAGAATCAAATGAGAATAAAATAAATGAATTGATAGGAAGAGAGAAGAAAAGCAAGATAAAGAAAAGCAAAAAAGCGAGTCAAAGAAAATGGAAAGAACGAGGTAAAAATAAGAGAAAGTATTAAATATATAAAAGATGAAAACTCAAAAAATATACGAAGGAAGAGGTTCGGATGGAAGAAAGTAGTAGACAAAAGTATTATGGGGAGATAATGAAACTTGTAGTGAGAAAAGAAGAGAAAATAAAAAATATAAAGGAAAGAATAGAAATCCAACCAAATTAGTGATCAAGAAAAAACAAAGAGAAGTCAGACAGATAAGATAAAGCGAGGGATCAGTGACAATCAAAATAGCAGAACGAACGATAATACAGAGAAAGGAAAAGCGAAATTTGTAATCATTTCACCCTAAGCAAGGCGATAATGCCACTAAGACGCATGAAATTACTGGGAAATGAAAGAGAATGGGAAAACTTAAGGAGAAGGAACCTAAAACACAAGCTAAACAGGGAAAAAAGGATAAACCTCTACTACTGTTCAGAAGACAGGGAAGGAGTATGAGCCGAACAATAGGCGAACCTATCTAGTCTAATTATGAGCGTATTCAAGTTAATGAGGACAGGTAAAGTAGAAGAGAATGAGATAGAACAGATGAGAATTATATATAACTAATAAAAGTAAAATACACCAATGTTAAATATATATAAAAAGGAAAAATCAAAAAAATATAAAAAGTAAATTGCTGATATCCCCTACGAAACTCTGAAGTCGAGATGCTAAAGCTAACAGCAATCAGTTAAGGGACAAACTATTATTCCAATTTAAATTTATCATTCATATATATATATATATATATATATATATATATATATATATATATATATATATATATATATATATATAGATGCATGTTTCCCTAAGGCATGTTGCATTAAATAATTTAAACAAATACGTGAGCATATGTCATATAAGTAAAATAAAATCAGGGTCTTGTTTTATCAAGGTCTTATCCGAGACAAAGTAGTTGTAAGAAAATAATATTTATTTTGGTTACACTACAACTACGTTGTCTCGGAGGTTGTGTTTTCATTTGAATGAGGCATCTAATATTTCTAAACATTTACAACAGCATGTCTGTCCATATTCACAATTTAAAAAAAAAATCTCGTTGAAAATACATCTATACTTTTTCATGAAAATAATAAGCATAATATAAAAATGTGAACAAGAAGCTTGTCTGTGAATATGAAAGGATCATATTAAAAATAAGTAAACAAAACTTGTCTAAATTATTTAATGAGACATGTCTCTCTCTCTCTCTCTCTCTCTCTCTATATATATATATATATATATATATATATATATATATATATGATAAATATATTTATATATACATATATACATATATCATATTTTTATTACAGTAAGGTTCACACTGTAAATTCGAGAGAGATGGTTACACAATAAGAATCGTTTATGGGGATATTTAGGAAGATAACGGTTAACCCTAGACTTGAAGAGTGCTCAGCGGGAGTCGTTTCCATAAACTAGCGGTTCCTGAAGAGACGCTGATCAGGCGGAACTTCCTCCTTACCAGTGGAATACGAAAGAAATAAGGGTGGTTCGATACAATGTACTTGGCATGGTGGCTCTTAGCTTCGAACTGGTGGAACGAACTGAATGAATACTTTCCATGAAAATAGCGATATATATCTGATAAAAATATATTAAATCTATGAGAAACATGTAAAAAGAAAAAGGCATATGCCTGAGCATGTGTCATATAAGTAAAATAAAATCTTGAATTTCCTCCATTATAATTGTTAAATTAATAAAACATCAAGTAACAAAGAGGTATAAGAATACTGATTTCTCACCGGACATTTAATCTATACAGTGAATCGATTCTGAGAGAATCAAAAGTTCTACAGGATTTATTATTGCTAGCTACAATCTCAATAGCAAAAGATATGTAGATATTAATCAATGTTAATATCAGACACGGAAATTAAACTACAAGAACTCCTATATAAATATAGTGAAGATATAGTGAGTCAGTCGTTCACTTTTGAACAGACTGCTCGGTTTGAACTCTCTTCCTACGGGCGGGAGGAACCCGAAGGAGGCTACGACAAAGGGCAGAGTCTCCTTCGGGGAGGTAAAACCGACCCTGAACCCGTTTATACGGGTTCAAATGGGCTATTTTTTGGCCGAGCCTAATGGCTTGGAAATATCCACGTTAAAAAGGCCTTGTGCCACATGACACCCTCGTGGGGGGGTGACTCAATATCGTGAAGAAAAGCGACAAGAAAGGACTAAACATAAACTGCAAGAAGACAGAATGCATGGTTATTAGCAAAAGGAACAACCCAACGAAGCTATAAGCTTTAGATCATATTCAATTATATAAAGATATGAAGTGTGAGCCATGTACACTTAGTAGGTATGCACATCACATTTTTTAAAACATTTTATTACATTTATATTTATTTTTTGCAATCATATTTATTCAAAACTGTTTATGTACATTTGTTTAACACTTTACTTACATTTAATTTTTTTAAGAGCTCAAAATGTTCTCCTTCAACATTCCTTGAACCTCTCCATAATCTATGACACACAGCACGTCACAAATCTCGATCTGCATTAATTTCAATAAATACTTCTGAGATGTATTCTTTTAATTGATCCACTATGTAAGGATTTCTCACATAAACCTTGTTCTTTATTACACCCCACAAAAAGAAATCCATTGGTATTGGTGATTGTGGTGTCCATGTGATGCTGCTCCTTCTTCCGAACAAATAATGTGCAAAGGTTTGGTTAAGGTTTAGTCCCTTACCGGCAAAGCATGATGGGGAGGTGCTCCATCTCGCTGAAAGGACAGTACGGCGAAGTTACGCCTGGAAACGTGAAACAAATTGTGAAATAACTGTCAACCTACTTTTGGCCCACCCTGTATATTCGATTATTCTTTCAACTGGTCATCTAATGTTTTGCTTCTTTTTCTTACAAGTCGTTTTTCTGTTATGCCAATCGAGACAAGGCGCAACAGTGTGACACGTGTGTGTAATGTAGACGCGCTAAGACAAATATAAAAATAAGTGTAAATGGAAAAATAAAGGAAGATAAAGGAAAGGAAGGACAGAAGAAAAGTTGACTGACGAAAAAAAGAAAAAGATTTTGATACAGAGAATCAACTAGAAGAACAAGATGAAGAATAAGTGGAAATAATTTTCAAAGGAAAATCATAGTGAAACAGTTCGAAATGAATACGAAGAACCTAAAAAAGATTAAGAAAAATAGATACGTCCTTACAAAGTTTCCGTATTACAAATTGTTATGTTCTTTTTGCTTGTCGTTGTTTTCGCCTCTTGTTTTCTAATTCACAGGATGTATATTCGCTAATATTTATGGTGAAGATGCTCCTTGTTCCTCAGTTAAGTGAGTTCGCGCTGGGAGAGTGAACAGGCCAAAAGAAGGTGAAGAAGACACTTCGATGTCAGAATGATTTTTTTTAAATGCTTGAGATAAAAATGAATGAATGAAAGGGTAGGAAGGTGGGACAAGAATCTAAAGGATGAATAAAGGCGTAAAAAAGATGAATCATGGGAAAAAAATTGAACTAATTGGAAACGATGGTCGCGTGAAGCCGTCAGTTGCGCGCTGAGTCGTGTAGCAGCCTTTTGTAGAGGGCGAAGGAGATGGTGACCGAACGAATAAGTGAATGATATGGAAGAAACGAGGAAGAAAAAGATTAACACATTTAATGAGAAAAAAAAATGGAGAAAATGCTGAAAAGAGCATTGGAACTGAAAAGTAAATCGTTTTCTGTATCGGAAATTTTCTTGGAGAGAAAATGAGTAGGAAAAGTGAAGTACACAAATAGAATAGTCGTCTTTATCTGGAATATCTATGCTTGAAAGGATAACTGTGAAATAATAGTCAAATATACTGTTTAATTAAAAAAAATATGTGTAATTGCAGAATGGTAAAAGAGTGTCGGTGGTACAAATCAGGGAAAGAAAGAAAGAAAGAAAGAAAGAAAGAAAGAAAGAAAGAAAGAAAGAAAGAAAGAAAGAAAGAAATGGTGGGAGTAGAAAGAAGAGGTTTAACTAAAAGAGTAAATGATCAGTGGTTATGCTGAATAAAGGAAGGAAAAAAGAAAGAAACAAGCAAGCAGACAAATGGTGGGACTGGAAAGAAAGAAAGGATTAATTAATTTTAGGAACGAATAAATAAGGAGAATATGAAGACGAATTAAAAACTGAGAGGAACAAAGAAAACAAAAAGAGAAGTGAAATGTAAAAAATAATATACCGTAAATTAATAAAATGTCAACGAAAGATAAAAATGAAAGTATAAAACGAACGAAAGTTGAGAGCATGTTTTTCTACCAAATACATGTGTCCTATGTTATAGCTATGGCAGTTGGAATTTTTTCAACTCATAAAATAATAGTGCCAGTTCAAATAAATATTCTACTGAGAAATTTTATATGAGTTTCCAAAACTAGTAAGCATTCTATGGAGAAAATTGGGATTTAAACACTCGTTTATAAACAACTGTGGTCAGATTTGACTACATTTTAAGTAACTCAACTACCAAAATGTCGCTTAAGCAACTACATGGTGCCAAATAAAAAGGAGTAAACTTATTATCATTGTTTTATCTTTCAGGAATAATTGACCAGCAATAACTTTGAATAAATTTCTTGACTATTTCATGACCTTGAATAAAGCTACTGCCTCCTGGTTAAAACGCTTACAATTTTGTGTCGAACATTCAGGGAAACATTTCAAACATCTATGATGACTGTTCAGTTTGTGCATGAATCATGATATCTAAATAAATTTATTTTTGAATTTGCCGCTTTTCTTATTGGGTACCTGTAAAAGAAAAAAAAAAGAAAAGTAATAAAATTAAACAAAATGTTGTTAATTATGTTCTTAATACTGTATTCAGGAATTCTATTGATTCTAATAGTTTAATTAGATCAAAATATCATCTTTTTCTGTTTATTATACACACGCATAAAAAATAAATAACGATTTAAGCATACTGGTTTTGACGCAAAAATAAAGCAATCCTAGTACGGATCAAAATCCAAAGTTTCTTTGTCTTAATTATTTCACCTCAAGCAAAGTGATAAGGCCCCTAAGGCGCCAAGTGTTACTATGGGTTAAAAAGAATGAGAGGAGAGGAATCACAGGTTTCAGTATTTATAGAAAAGACAGAGGGAAGCCACGTCACGGCGGTGAGTAAGTGACTAAAGTCGAGATCCTAGATCAGGACCGATAACATTACAAACTCTTCACTAAATGTTACTGAGAATTTCAAGATATATTACAGGAGCATCAGGCTAAATTTGACAGCCATATTCAATGCACGGACGAATGATAGATTTATAAATGTAAAGATGGATGATTTGCGAGAAAAATTGTCTGACACGAAAGTGTGAACCAATATTCTTAGCAGCAGACCCATCATTTGATTAAATATAATCAGTCCACTTCATGTCTGTGGAAAAAGCTTAAGAGCAAGAGAATGCAATGACTTATACTACTTGATGCTAGTATCAGCCATGACGATAAAAGACAATAATGGTTTTCTATGAGGATAAAAATGTTTCGTTGTGGAGACGTTAAATGTTACAAACCATTTCCTTCTCCAGTTAACAACTGATTGTATGTAATTTTTCAAGAGCAGTTGCCAATTCTATATTGTCAAACATAGCGGACTTATTACTAAAACAAGAGTAAATAGTTGTGTCATCGGCATAAATAACAAATTGGTAACTACAAAATTGTTAATTACATCGGGAAGGTCGTTAATGAAGGAAACAAATAACATACATCCAAATTTAGACTCTGGGTGACCCTAGCATTAACGTGAAAAGATCTAGAAGCCTCACCATTCAATGCGATTTCATTAGTTCAACAGTTCCAACCCTCGTCATTCTCAACTAAACCTTGATGGCTAAATTCTGTAATAATCTTTAACACGTCGACGGTTGACCTAGAGAAACGAAAACCATATTGTTTATCTGAAAGAATGGCGTGTGAAGTGAGATGTTTAATCATTTCAGAGTTGATTAGAGTTTCTAGTAGTTTGTCCAAAAGAATTAAAGGACAATAATTCGGGGGATGAGATGGTTCGCCAGAGATCTTAAAGACAAAAACTACAGAAAACAATTTCTAACAAGCTTATTCAAACGAATCGACTATTTGAAAATTACATAGATACTGTAATAAATAAGCACATTACCCGTAGGAAAGAATTCAGAGAAACTATTTAAATGTGCCGGTACTTGTATTTGGTACACATGAGGAAAGTAAGATAAATAAGCCCAAGAAAGAAGATAATGAAACTAGAGAACTGGAAATAAAAGAAAAGAAAATATACAAAACCGAAAAAGCAAGAAAGGCGAATATAGCGATATATCAGTGCGAACTTGGATAAAGAGAGAAAACGGTGATAAGATGTGAATGCATGGGAAACAGAAAGAATAAGAAATGGAGAGCCTGAGATACAGACTTGAACATTGCCACCGGTAAATAAAACAAGAGAATCAAAGAGAGAAATGTAGAAAGACGAAGTTAAATGACGAAGAGAAAAGCGAAGAAAGCATGAAAGAGATAATACGACTTTGCTAAACAAGAGCGGGAAAAAAAGATTTAAGATCAGTTTTGTATTGGCAAATCCAAAATAGGTAATATGGCAGGAAGTGGCGGAATGGCGCGCACTTTTTCGCGCGTCTCATCTGATAATGGCGTGGTACTGATTAAATGTCTTTACAAGTCGATCACTTCCATATCAAAATCGCGCGAACGGACAAAAATATTAACTGCCCGTTGATTTTTTTTCTTTTTTCCTTTACTGTTTTTTTTTTTTGTTGTTGTTGTTTTTGGGTTTTTTTTTTACTTTTTCTGCAAAACGAATCCGACATTTTCAATCGCATTCGTTCAGAAATGATTACAATCTGCCAAAAGCAAACCGAATCTTACAAGTACTACGACTAATGCTGCTATTACTGTTTTTGTTACTTATAATGCTAGTGTCCCTAATAATAATTCTAATAAATGAATAATACTATTAATAACAATGCAGATGATTTCTTTTATGTTGTTTTTATTTTTCGTTTAGGACGTGGGTAGTTATGGCTCTCCACAATTACCTGTTCGATGTTGCTCTAAATAACTTTTTATCTTTACCACCCATATTTATCCCCGTTTTACTATTAATTCATCAAAATATATAGAGTAGATAACTTGCTGTTTTCTCTTGCTTCTCCTGCTTTTCCTGTGTCCCATCATTTTTAAATTCCTTAAGACTTCTTCCCTCATTATACTCCTCAGTAATTTTAGCTGTCCATTTCTGATAGTAAGTATAATTTTCCTTTTTGTTCCTTTTTTCTTCAAGGCTTCTTCGTTGCTTACATGTTCTGCCTAGGGAATTCTTTCAGTTTTTCGGTAGAACCACAACTCTGTAGCCTGCGAGGAAACTGACTCGCATTCACAGCCATATAGAAAATTTGAGATTACAGAGTAACTCAGCATTCTTTTTTTTGTTTCTTTTTTTCCTAGTGTCTTCTTACTTTGTTTAGTTTCTGAAAGCCTTCTTTCGATATTCCTATGCACCTTCAGATTTCTATGTCGTCTCTTACTATATTTTAGCTTCTTGATTCTGACGTCCCCATTATTTTGCGCTGACTATTTTACAACTACTACTAATGATATTAATAACTGAATACTTAGTCAATTATGTGCCATGTGTGATACACGCTTAGGCAATCATGTATCTTTCGATACCTGACTAATGAGGCAGATTTTTCACGCAGTAGGTTGCTATTTCTTTCTGCGGTAGGTCAGTTGCTATCCAAGGCTATAGAACCCGGTCTGTCCTGCTATTTACCCATAACTGAGGAGAGAAGAGGATTCATACCTTTCCCAAAGGTATTAGCACGTAAGTGAATGTAATGGATTCGACTGGAATTCGGACTCGGCTCTCCGATTCCTTGAATTAATTGAATACTCCTACTACAAAAATGATAATAATCTATACGACGCCTTTACTAAAATCAGCCGGAATACTAAGGTGATTATTGAAGCATAGAGGAGACTTGCTGGCACTTAATCTTCCAAATGCTTTATCTTCTCGGCACAGAAAGCTTACAAGCGAGCATATGGAATTATTGGAATTTTCCCCAAAAGAATGGCTTACGACCACAACACGTTGAAAAAATTTTCCCGTACGATCACCGAAGTTAAGCAACGTCGAACTTGGTTAATACTTACATGGGTAACTGCTTGGTAATACCAGGTGCAGTAAACTTGGATATGCGGGTGGTGTAATGGATAACTGTTTGGAATTGGAAAGCGGAGAGCCGAGTTCCCATTCCAGTTGCGTTTGGTATATTCACTTACGCGCAAATATCTTTGGGAAAGGTATAAAGCCACCTTTTCTCTTCCTAGCTATGGGTTATTTAGTATAACGTGTATTTCTAAACCATTATTATCTCCAAAACTAAAATAAAATAACATTGCCTGCAAAATATTTAGATTTCGGCATTACATAACCCATACAGGTTGATAAATTAAACAACCAAATAACCCAAAGGATATATGCTATGTCTCGTCTGAAAATAAAGTCTTGGGATCTCGGAACTGGTCCCTGTGCTAACTCCAAATATTTGAAGTTATGATCGTTTGAAGTTAATAAAAACTCGCACATGTTTAATTATTTCTTTTTGGATGATCAATTCTGGATAGTTACCTTTTCTGTCACTTTTTACTCAGAAAGTCAGTGAAATGTTATTCAAATGATTGTTATACGTGAAAAAAAAAAGGTTTAACTTAACTCTTTATCAAAAATTATGTCTGTCGAGTATTCCGGGGCCATGCGACGCAGAATCGCCATTTTCAGAGCAGATGCTTGTGCGAACTACATTACTTAGTTTCACCAGTTTAGACCTTCACATCTAGGACCGGCCATGCCACTACATTAATTCGACTCATCCTCATCCTTTCATATTTTCTTAGTGAGGAGGAAGTTCCACCCAACTTCTCCAGAATTTTTACATTGTGGAACGGACGCACGTGAGGATGTTTCCTTGGTCACTAAAATCTTAACCTCTTCAAGTCTAGATTCAGCTGTTATCTATCCTACATATCCTCATAATATGGATCTTTTGCTCCCTCCCTGTACGCCTTCATTTTGTAACACTCTGCCGTAAGTGGCTCTTGAGCCTTGTATTGTAAAACAAAAATTAACACAATTCTTATCCCGCTTTTTTTTGTTTCTGACTTCCCACCAACTTCGAATAATGATAACAAAAATGTCCATTCTTTCTTTTTTTTTTTTTTTCCTTTTTTAGTGCGAGTTCGCAAATATTAAAACAATTCTGAAAACTTTGTTTGGTTGGTTGATTGATTGATCGATAGATTTTGTTTAGCGGCACATCAACTTCTCTGGGTCATTTAATGCCAAAATCTTAATATTGTGAATATAGTTTTATGGTTTCAACTATAGATAAAATGTATTATTGGTCATTTTCCTATAAAATTTATTGTTGCTAATTCTCCTTTAAAATAACTTTTTATATAAAAATGTATTGCTGGAATTTTTAATATAAAAATGTATTTTTATACTTTCGTAGTGTCTGGGGGTTCATTATTTCCCCAAAACAGGTGCCCGAATAGATGCTATCACACACTGTAAAGCGTAAGAAAATTGTTCTCGGAGAGATATTTAAACGTAATCAGTTCCTTTCACAAGTTAAATCGGACATTACTCACATATGTCGCGGATCAAATATTATCTTTTGACATAACTTTCTTTATAATTATCAGTCAATCATGATACAGACATCTGTCGTTTTGAGGGTGAAAACTGAAACGATGTTTACTTATTTATTTATTTATTTTGTCGGGGGTGGTGATAATGTAAAATTTAAGCTCTTTTGGGCTTTTGACTTTTTTCTAGATCTTAATCCGTAAATGTAAACCTTTTGTTTTAATCTACCTGTTAAGTACAAATAACATTAATATAGTTCCATAATTGAGTGGAAACACATTCAGGGATATCAAAGCCACAAATATCTGTTTGTTCCTATTGTGCAAGCCTGTTTCTAAAAATTTGTTTCTGCTTTGAATGGCTCTAATTTGAAACAGTACTTGTTCAAATCAATTGTTTCTTTCTCTGAAAGATGATCACTGTAGGAAAAATCGTCCAATCCCAACATATGCACAGCATCGGCTTCTTTGAATGAACACCGACCTTTGTTACGATATACGTTTCGTTTGCCTACTGATATATTGCGTTGTTATAAAGTATCTATTCTTCATCTCCCATAAATATTTCTTTAGAAAATACGGGCAATTTCGTTATGTTTAAGTAGCGAATCTCACACGGAGATATGACCGAGTAGGTTTTTGTTCGTCTAACCTAAGTGGAAGCTACACATCAAAGTAACTAACATAAATCAAACATTTGCAAATGATTTGCAGTCTTTGACTATATTGATTGTTGCTTATCTCATACGCAATATACTATGATTATTATCAATTAATATCTTCTTCGCTATAAAACTGAACTTCGTTCAGTGAGAAATATTCTTTGAATATGTCTCTCATTCACAGTCTCTTTTCCCTATATTTCTTTTTTAAGCATTTCACCCCAAGCAAGGCGGGAAGCCACTAGGACGCAAGGGGTTACAGAAAATAGGAAGATCAGATAGTAGTGATAGAAGAACGGATGAGGGTAGTAGATAGATTAAGGCAACTGGAGATGTCGATTGACATTACACTTGAATAGCTGGAGATTATAACTCACAGGGAAACAGGAGAAGGGAAGAGAGTTCCACAGGCGAGAGGTGCGAGACATGAAGCTATTAGAGTAGAAGAGACGGCTACATTTAGGAGTTTCGACAGTGAAGGGGTGAGAGCGGGATGCCAGCCTCGTAGGGCGCTTGAACTCATGAAGCCTGGGAACCAGCGAATGCAGCTCCTCGGAGCAATTTCCATGAAAGTATTTGTAGAACAGACAGAGGGAGGCGACGGTGCATCTGTGAGAAAGTGACTGTAGACGAGACGCCAGGGCAGGGCCAATCATATTGCATATCCGCTTCTGGAACCTATCAAGAACCATATGCTATGGCACCTGGAAAAGACATAGCATATAGAGTAATCATAGCTCTCCAAAGCATTTTTATCTCTATTTCTATGTTTTATCATTCTTGAACTAAAATATAATTAGCCGAAAATATTGATTGTTTTTATTCATTTGTATTATCTCAATAAAAAGCAAAAACGACAAATTGATACAATAAAAAACGATCTTTCTGAATTAAGTTAGTTTAAATTAAACGCTACTAATGCCACCTAAGGTAAAAAAAAAAACAGCAAACGTTTAAATAATAATGGTAAGGTTGAGATCAGCCGTTTATAAAGTAATATTCAGTACTCATTGACCGAACAGTTCGCGTTAATAACGGTTGAAATATATCAAATCTTTCTTTTAAGAGAGGTTTTCAGGAAAATAATCTTCTCAAGACCAATAACTGTTATCGTTCTTTCTAGCTTTTGACGGGAGTTTTCTTCCTAACCTTACGTTTCTTTTCTCGCACTTCTCACCTGTAGAACACTCTTCCGA